AACCAGTATGTCAACAAGAATACCTTCCAAAACAACCCTGAAAAGGAGTCATTCAGCATCCTCTGTAGGATATTCAGAAATTGGGAGCTCATTGTTTCCCCAAGAGCCTGTTCCCACTTTGGGAAAGTTTTAATTTTAAGGAAGTTTGGTTTTTTTCTTACATTCAACTAAAATGTGCCCTTCTTGGAGCCCCCAATGCCCCAAGTTCTGCTCTCTGTGCCCAAACAAAAGAAGAAAATCAAGATCCCTTTCTCATAACAGACGCTGAAATACGTGAAAACAATTACCATGACCCCCCCAATCCCCCAAAGTCTTCCTTTCTCAAGGATAAGCATCCCCAATTTTTCACCCAATCTTTGAATGGTATTGAATCTCTACATCACAACAATACAACACATATAAAGTGTTTTGCAAACCTTAAAGTAATACACACACACAGGTGAACATATAGGTATGTGCATGCTGTAGTTAGGCCACATTAGGGCCCTACAAAAGGGTTCAGGAAGTAACAAGGGAAGGTTGAGTTGGATCTTCAGCAGGCAGACTGCCCTAACCAGCTGCTTTCTATGCTCTGAGGAAGTGTTAGATTATAATCGAAGGCAGTTTTAAGGTGCAGCAAAGTTAAACCAATCAGGTGTCTGCACTAAATCTAGCACCAATATGGTGAGCCCCCATAAGTGGGAGGCCATTAGGCTGTGTAAGAAGGGAGTAACCCAGCCCAGATTAAAAATGGAGTAGGTCAAAGCTTCTATGCAGATCAGCCGTGGTATGAGGCCTACAAGTGGTAACTGCACTTCCAACCTGAGAGAGATACAAAGACCTAGTCTAAAAAAAAAAAAAGATACAATCACAGAAATTAAGGGCCAATAAGGAGGCATCAAACTAAGTATAAATATGTGATTATTACCTGTTTCACTAACTGAATTAGAAGTTGCCACTGGGTGAATTAATATGGGCCATGTCCATGATAGTCTTAAAAAGCTAAGCTCATCAACTATAAATGGCAGCACAGGCAGTAATGAACAATTGAAGAGAAAGCTGGCTCCTCAAAAAACAGGAAAAGACAAAAAATTATCAAGGAAAACTGCCCTGATATTTTAGAACCTGAGGGCAAAATAGAAATTGAAAGAATCCACTGATTTCCTCCTGAAAGAGTTCCCCAAAGGAAAACTCCTAGGAATATTGTAGCCAAATTCCAGAGCTCCCAGGTCAAGAATATTGGAAGCTGCCAGAAAGAAAAAATTCAAGTATTGTGGAAACACAATCAGGATAACACAAGATTTAGCACCTTTTACACTAAGGGACCGCAGGGCTTGGAATAGAATATTCCGGGGAGCAAAGGAGATAGGATTACAATCAAGAATCACCTACCCAGCAAAACTGAGCATAATCCTGAATATTCAGTGAAACAGAGGACTTTCAAGCATTCTTGATGAGAAGACCAGAGCTGAATAGAAAATTTGACTTTCAGATACAAGACTCAAGAGAAACATGAAGAGGTAAACAGGAAAGAGAAATCATAAGAGACTCATGAAGGTTGAACTGTTTACATTCTGTACGGAAAGATGATTATTTGTAACTCATGAGTCCTTTGTCAGTATTAGAGTAGTTGGACAAAGAACAGTTTATAGTTCGGTTAGAACATAGAATACATGAAGAGCAGTTTGAAATAAGACTAAGTAATTTTCACTTCATCCCAAACACGAGGGAAAGCCCTTGAAAGATTTCTAATAGAAGGGTGACATTCCTTCTCTCCCTCTATCCCTTTCCTCTTAAACCTATTCTTTATCTTCACCGTGACCATTTGTCTTTCTACCACTCTTTTTTCTTTTGCTCTGTCATTGCTCCCCTGCTCTCAATTTATTCCCTTCTCTGTCTGGAGCCTGTAGTGAACTAGTCCAAATAAACTTTATCCTCTACCCTGGAATAATTTGAATCTTTGTCCTCACACTTTTAAGGCCTGGCTAAAATCCAACGCTAAGTTAGCCCCGCAACTGACCTTGTATACCCGTACACCGCTGCCCTCCACTTCAAGAAGTCACACGCAAGGTACCAGCTGGCTCCAAAAATTCACACTGTCTAATCTTGATTAGCCCCAAGTGCTGCACTTTGTCAGGGAAGGGTGCAGGACGAGTGACTTAATTGACACAGGCAATTCTCACTGAGGAAACTTTCTCTACTTCTGCAAACACAATAGCGAGTAATTATAATAGCAAGCATTTACAAAGCACTTTAAGGCTTGCAAAGAATTTTACATATGTTATCTCATTTGGTACCCACAAGAACAATGTAAGGTAGGTGTGATTATTACCCTCATTTTGCCGATGAGAGAGGTCACCTTGCCCAGTATTACAAAGCTAGAAAGTAAGTGGGACATTATCTAAATTCATGTCTTCTTTACTCAAAGTCTAACATTAGAGTTACATGTGACTCCATGACATCTATCAAACCAACATCTCTCTCCCTAACCATCGGTGTCCACCAAGTTCCTATCTGGCAGGCATCCTCTTCCCTCTCTATACACTCTCCAGGTGAGCTCAAATGTTTCACATGGGCTAACTTATCATGTCTAAACAGATGACTCTCAAATTCCTCCTATTAGCTGGAGCCCCCTATCTCCAATGGTTGGACAGTCCTCCTGGGTGTCCCGTCAGTACCTCAAATTCAACATGTGTAAGACAGAACTCACTTTCCCCCAGAAACTTACCCATCTTCTAAACTTTCCTATTTCTGTTAAGTACCCTGCTGTTCTTCCAGTCACCTAAGTTTGAAACCCTGGAGGCATTTTGCTCCCTTCATCCCCTAGATCCAATCAGTTGCTAAATCTTATTGATTCTCCTTTCATATTTTTCACAATCCCTGGCTTTCTTTCAGTGTTTGACTCAGGTGCTATCTCCTACATAAAGACCTTCCTAATCAATTTCCCCTAATCTCCCCCCACTCCCCCCCCACAGACTCCATTAATTGTCTCTACTTACTTACATTTACCTATCTGAGTAAATGTTTTAGCCCCTTCCCTCCATGGATTCCTTCCTGAAAGCAAAATTGGTTTAATTTTTGTATTTAAATTTTGTATTGTATCTTGCACATAAGTGGTCAATAAGTGTTTCTTGAATTGAAATGTAGGTCTCTCTGCAGCATCCCCAGGAAGTGATCATCACTCTGCCTCTGCTTTCAGACCTTTAGTCAGGAGGAATTACTGACAGAGTCAGCACATTCCACTTTCATATGGTTTTAATTGTCAGGGACCTTTTTCTTTTTACTGAGTTTATCTGCCACTTGATATCTTCTACTCCTTGTTTCTAATTCTACCCACAGTCCTAGTTCTACCAAGCTTAATACTTTGTCCACATTATAGTCTTAGAATATAACTATTATATACAGCTATTCTACACACTGTCCCTCCCCAACCCCGCCCTCAGTCTTTTCTTCTACAAACTAAATATCTCTGATTCCTTCAAACAATCCTTATATATCATGTTATCCAGTCTCCTCACAATCCTGGTCCATTCTTACAGATGAACTCTAGCTTTTTCAACGCCATTCCTAAAATGTAGAACCAAGGATTGACTCTAAATGTGGCCAAAGTAGGGCAAAGTATATTAAGAGGATCACCAGTCCTCATCATATGAATATTCTGCTTCTATTAATGTAGCCTAAAGTTTATATCAGATTTTTATTTGGCTTATATAGTATACTACTGATTAAAATTAAGTTTAAAATCCCACCAAAATATGCAGAACTTATGTGACTTGACCAAGGTCACACAGACCTTGGTCACATAGCAAATATCAGAGATCATATCTGAACTCAGTTTCCCTAACTCTAAAGCCAATGCTATTTCCATTGTATTGTACTGCCTACTTGAGGGTTGGAATTGTCTCATTTTTGTCTCTATATATCCTATATTTCTTACCATGCTGTCTCGTACATATTAGGCACTTAATAAATGTATCTTGAATGAAGAATTCAGCACACTTTTTAGACTCTCATGAAGTCAAATTTCTAAAACTAAAAAAAAACCCCACATATAGAGCAAGTGTCAAATAAGTACTTGATGATGATTTTTGAATGAATATAAAAAACAACATCAAGAGACACGAGCTTAACATTTTAAGCAACATTCCTTTTCCTCTTAGCCTGCTCTATCTATTTTGTGGTATCTAAAAGGCCTAATCTCTGGTTTTTAAAACACAATCCAAAGTGAACATTGAAGAAACGTATCTGCAACTGAAATGTTTCAAAGAAATATACAAGCCAACATTTTTTAAGACAGACATGTACAGAGTATCAAAATACATGAGGCACTCTATACTTTACATTTGTACAGAATAACAATCTGGGGCCCTACTAACATAAAAGAAACTCTTTCAATTAATAAGTCATGCATAACAATATTAAAACAAATGCAACATAGTAAACTTTGCATGTCAACTGATATCAAATCTGGTAAATAAAACTCTCATTTTCTAAGCACTGAAGTAGTAAAATCAAGGACATAAAAAAAAATACAACAAAACACTTCTCAGTTAGGATTTCCATAAAAATAGGAGACTCTCTAATAGAAAGAAAGCAACCACCTCTAGGCTTAAATTTTTCATATGAGCCTGCCACGGATTAGCTAGGTTTTTATTGCTTCATGCAATTTCCGAATTAAGAGTGACTTCATTGTGAGTAGTTTTTTTAAGTTATGTATTACATCATAAATTATTCCTTAATTCTTCACAGCTTTGACTTGCACAGGTTGCTGCTTTATCTGAGATTGTGGGAAGTGTGCAGAGCAGTTAAATCCCCAGGAGAAGAGGGAAGCCACCAGTGGACACCAGAAGATAAATAGCACAATGAACTGGCATGATTACAGGCCATTCTTTAATAGAGCTTTGATTTGTTATCAGGGTTTCAGTGGAAAACACACACACTGGAGGACAGCAGCAGAGGAAGCTAGAGGCTGCTGGGTCCAAATGATTCCATCAGCCATGCTTGCTCATTGAGTCACTCACCTCATAACCCTTTTCCAGGAGGAATTCAGCCAAATACGAACCATCCTGGGAAGAAAAAGAGATAGGAAAATGTTAGATACACAATGGTAAGCACGGCCATTTGCAGAAGACCAAGTGCTTTAAGAAAAGCATTTTTTTTAACTCTAACAGTAGATGAGGTTAAAATAGAATGAGAGTCATCTCCCTCTACTTTTAACTAAGAGGAAACTGCTTCCTCTGTGTTTTGGACTGAATGATTTAAACAGGTCATATACCCAACTATCATATATGAAGACAACAGATATTTCAATGAGATTAATGCTTAGCAATTGTTTGTGAAGATCTAATAAAAAGTAACTGCGCCAGATAGGAAGCTGTCAGTCAAAAATAGTAATTTTTAACTCCTTTTGTAACATCTCAGGATATTTGCAAGGACTGGAATTCAACAATGAACATTCATTAAGCTTTCACTATGTGGGATCATTGGATCCTAACTTTAGAGATGAAGGAGCCCTCTGAGGCCATTTAGTGCTACCTTGTGCAAGGTCACATAGGTGTCAGGCAAATTAAGGAGTTCTGACTTCAAGTAGTTAGTGTTCTTGCCACTGTATCACACTGCCATGTTGGGTACTGGGATACCAAGATTAAAAATGCCAAGCCCTAATACTATGTTCTACTAGGAAGGATGCCACCTGAACATTGATTAGTATATTATAAGGATAGAGGCAAAGGAATAAGGCAAACAACATGCTCTAGGAAATTTTAAGGAGGAAAGGGAATTTTTGGCAAGGAAAAAGGCTTAACAGACATGGTAGCAGTAAAGGTGAACCTTGAAAGAAGAGGACTCAGGAAGGCAATGATAAGAAGAGAGCTTGTTCCAGAGATGGAGAAGCACTGATGGAGTGCTTAAGATGTAAGAGATGTTAAATCAAGTTCAAGGAACACACAACAGAACAATCTGCCAAAACATAGACTGCATGAAGGGGAGTAACAAATATGACATAAAGCTAGAAAGGTAGATTGGGGACAGATGGTATTGGACTTTAAACGCCAGGCTAAGGAGTCTATATTTTGCCCAACGGGTCAGTAGTTCCCAACTTATGGGCCTCATTCCCAAAGAAGTATATCTCACTGAGGCAGCTAGGTTGCCCAGGGGATAGAGCACTAGCCCTGGAGTCAGGAGGACCTGAGTTCAAACAGATCAGAAAAAGGAGAGAATAGAAGCAAGGTGTCTTGTTTGGCAGATATTACAACAGACCAAATGATAAGAGAACATGGTTTTAATATAAGTGGAAGAGAGGAGGAAAAATGCAAGATTCAATTAACAAACAGGTTAGGTTGGAGAAAGGAAAGCCTGGGAAAATGGAAACCAATTTAGAGGCTATATAGCCCATGTAAGAGGTAATAATAGCAAAATTTCTTTAAGAATCCACACAAAACAGTCAATTTGTAATTTTAAAATAAAAATGTTTATATGTAGTAGTATATATGTTCAAAAGTTGTAAAGTTAAACAAATGAAGAAAAAGTGTCAAAAATCAGGAAAACACTGGTCTAGAGAAGGACATAAATATCATTTTAAAAAAAACGGCACACTCCCCTCAGAAAACGAAATAATCTTTCATACCTCAATCGATCCCTAAAATTATTCTTTAGCTTTTCACAGTTTCCTTTCCTTCTCACCCACCACAAAGTTTTACAAAAACATAGAAATGAGAAACCCTAAACTATCCAAAACCTTAAACTAAAAATTTGAAATTTGTTTAAAACTAAGAAACAGAAGGGTAGAAAGGGATGCGAGCATTTTCTTCAGATTCTTCAGTCAGAGAAAAGCTTAAAACACATCTTTGACACTCAAATGTTCTAACAAAATATTCCAGAGAAAGAATGTACAGCAGTCATTTTGCTTAAAGATGGAATCTGAGATGTACTAGGAGCCTTGAAAATGACAGGGGTAGCAGAAGAGGGTTTATTACATCAATGCAGGAGTCCTACATAAATCCAGGCAGAATAACAAGGCACGTTATACGAGGGACACATTTTGTGGTTCTTTTAAAACTCTACCAGATTTTCTTCTGAATCTGTGACATAAATATTCTGCTTTATAGACTTGTGTGGGGAAGAAGAGAGTTAGTTTTCCTCCTACTCATATGATATATGCACTATCACATGCTTTTTATATGCCCAGAGTTCAGCAGAAATAAAATTATGATACTGACTGATTTAGACCATGACAAGCCAGGTCTGCCCATGCCACTAGAGGAAATGTTAGAATGATCAGTGGTTCCATAAATCTAAGAATAAGAAAAAGGCTTAGTAGAAAAGTGTTCACAATTTAAAAAAAACACAGTAGAAAAACCCTGAAAAGAATGATTATTTTTTTCTTTTTTAAGCAGGTATCCTTGTAATTTACGCAATTTATAATTCTCTTGGGATGAGAAAGTAAAAATGCTCTGTGTTTTACCATAGTTGCATAACCTGTGTAAAAACAAAAAAGCAGAGGTGAAAGTGCTAATGCTTCAGAGAGAGAAAGAGAGAAAGGGGGGTAAAGCTGTGATTATTTAGAGAGTTGATGTGAAACAGACGTGACCAGGATTGAACCCTGTCAATAAGGTCTTGTTCTTCTCACCCAGCCCGTTTCTCAAACTTTCCAACCACACTGGAACATTCTGAACCAGCAGTGGCATTCACTTCCTCGGCACTTCCTTTCCAGGTCTATCAAGTGATAGGGGCACAAACTTCACAATGAGTGGGAAACAGGCAGCAAGTGGGAATGCTACTGGTTTCTGGCTCTAACACAGCACAACTGATTGACTGTCTGGTAATCATCGCACACAATACAGATTGATGTGACCCAGCACAGAGATAAAGTATCACGGCAAGTCAAAAGTTTTGCAAAACAAGTGTTGTTGTTTTTTCCTGCTCTTTTCAGAGCAGTAGCTGTCAGTGAGTACTGTCATCTGACCAGTGATTAAAATGTCATGGAAGTTTAGAACCTATAATCAACATTAAATTCTGGCAATCTTATCCCTATTGAGACTCAGGGACTGTGGCTCAAATCACACTCCTCCCTCTTCTCATCTCTCCCTCTGCTCCACAGCCAAAATGTCAAAAATCCCCAAATTTTAAAAAATGCAGGAATACAGAGACTCACTTTTCACATACATCTACTCAGCGTCCTTCACAGGATGCCTTACAGATTCAATCATAATGCCCATTTTTTATAGTGTCACCTGATCACCCTGTAGTCACACATTTAACTCAAGAACTTTAGGACCCTTTTTGCCCCATCTGCTCCACCATATACACATAGAAACTTGTAAAGGTTTCATGTTTTCTGTACCTTATAAGCCCTACTTTTTGCCAAAATTTGGCATCATCTAGTAGCTGGTTATTTCAAGAGGGTGTCTGTGCTTGGAAGGTGATAAATCCTTAAGATTTTGTCCTATGAGTCTGATGAATCCCAATTACTCCAATTGGCTTTTAAGCCAAAAAATTCCACATGATAGTCTTTCAATTCCTTTATTTTACAAATAAGGAAATTAAGATCCAAAGACGTACCTAATTACAAAAGTGGTAATCATCAGAACTGGGATTTGAACCCAGGCACTCTAACTTTTTTTTAATACTGCCCCACACTCTCTCCTTAATATTTGTTAAATTAAATGAAAAGCAATGCAAACTTTAAAATAAAATTTTTAAACCAATTACAACTTTAAAAGTGAGAAATATGTATACTGATATAAAAATAGATATTCTATGCATAGAATGTTTTTATGTTTGTTTGGTTTGGGTGCTTTCGTTCATTCATTATTAATGAGGTCAGCAAGAAGAATTACGGAAAATGGGAGGATAGCTTAGGAAAATAATCTTTTGATATAACTGGAAGCCCTATAAACTTAAAATTAAAATTCATTTATTATATATAATATAATTATATGCTCATATAATTATATTTTGTATTACATGTAATAAAATCCATTATTATTTGTATCAATCTATTAATATGGCATACTAATTTTTCACAATTGGTAAAATCACCATTTTAAATATTTTTAGCACCAGCAATACCATTTGACTACATTTGGAACAAAACTACAGTAGTTCTAAGGAGCCACTATTCCTAGGCTTTAAAGAAAGCTCTTTTTCCCACTAATTATAATGCCCAAGGTTGTTGTGGTACAAATAGGCACTACTTGCTAATGCTGTTTTAGACTAGTGGCTTTTCCCTCTAAGTTCCCTGCAAGGTAAAAACAACAACAACAAAATCAATGAAAGTTTCTAGTGTATCACCTCTGAAAGCAGCCCACTTACAACGGATCTTGTTAAGCCACTTTTCATTTCTTTTTATACCACTCCTACATGAAGAGTAATTTGTTGCTGCCTTGCCTCGTACATGTGACTTACATAGAAAAGCAGAATGCAGCAAGAGCATGCTAGTTCATCTGCCCATTTCTGCCAGTCCACCTGCTGGATGTAGTAGCTTCATTCTGATTTCAGCAGCACCTAGCACAGGGCCTTCCACATGGCTTGTGTTCCAGAAATGTTTGTACAACTAAAATGAATCCTCAGAGGCTTCAGTTTCACAAGTCAGTCCTTCAGAATTTCAAGTCATTAATGAAATTGAGGGCTAAACTAAGAATCAGAACAGCTAAATTACCTTTCATTGACTTTTGCCATCAATAACGTTTTCAGTGCATAACTAGTGTTAAAGATCCACATAAGGGGCTCTTACCCTTTTTTAGTGTCATGCTTCTTTGGCAGTCTTAAGAAGTCTGTGGACCCCCTCTTAGAATGATATTATTGACTATGAAATGAACTGCATGGTAGTTACAAAGGAAAGCAATTGTATTTAACTTAAAATGTAATTTCTACCCATACAAGTTCAAAAACATCCTGAAATTTATCTGTGAACCTCTTGTGGGTTTGTGGATGCCAGGTTAAGAACTCCTAATCTACACACTAATTTTGCCCACATGCCTATAACATCTAAGAAATCTTGAAGAAAAAGAAGACAAGTGGATGAGATATAACAAGTTCCCATTCACCAGGCTAGAGTTGGGGATAA